ATTGTTACTCAGGGACACAGAATTGTTACTCAGGGACAGACACAATTGTTACTGAGGGACACAGAATTGTTACTCAGGGACAGACACAGAATTGTTACTGAGGGACACAGAATTGTTACTGAGGGACACAGAATTGTTACTCAGGGACACAGAATTGTTACTCAGGGACACAGAATTGTTACTCAGGGACACACAGAACTGTTACTCAGGGACACAGAATTGTTACTACTCAGGGACACAGAATTGTTACTGAGGGACACAGAATTGTTACTGAGGGACACAGAATTGTTTACTCAGGGACACAGAATTGTTACTGAGGGACACAGAATTGTTACTCAGGGACACAGAATTGTTACTCAGGGACACAGAACTGTTACTCAGGGACACAGAATTGTTACTCAGGGACAGACACAGAATTGTTACTGAGGGACACAGAATTGTTACTGAGGGACACAGAATTGTTACTGAGGGACACAGAATTGTTTACTCAGGGACACAGAATTGTTACTGAGGGACACAGAATTGTTACTGAGGGACACAGAATTGTTACTCAGGGACACAGAATTGTTACTCAGGGACACAGAATTGTTACTGAGGGACACAGAATTGTTACTCAGGGACACACAGAATTGTTACTCAGGGACACAGAACTTGTTACTCAGGGACACAGAATTGTTACTGAGGGACACAGAATTGTTACTGAGGGACACAGAATTGTTACTGAGGGACACAGAATTGTTACTCAGGGACAGACACAGAATTGTTACTGAGGGACACAGAATTGTTACTGAGGGACACAGAATTGTTACTGAGGGACACAGAATTGTTACTCAGGGACAGACACAGAATTGTTACTGAGGGACACAGAATTGTTACTGAGGGACACAGAATTGTTACTCAGGGACACAGAATTGTTACTCAGGGACACAGAACTGTTACTCAGGGACACACAGAATTGTTACTGAGGGACACAGAATTGTTTACTGAGGGACACACAGAATTGTTACTCAGGGACACAGAATTGTTACTGAGGGACACAGAATTGTTACTGAGGGACACAGAATTGTTACTCAGGGACACAGAATTGTTACTCAGGGACAGACACAGAATTGTTACTGAGGGACACAGAATTGTTACTGAGGGACACAGAATTGTTACTGAGGGACACAGAATTGTTACTCAGGGACACAGAATTGTTACTCAGGGACACAGAATTGTTACTGAGGGGACACAGAATTGTTACTGGGACACAGAACGGTTACTCAGGGACACAGAATTGTTACTCAGGGACAGACACAGAATTGTTACTGAGGGACACAGAATTGTTACTGAGGACACAGAATTGTTACTCAGGGACACAGAATTGTTACTCAGGGACAGACACAGAATTGTTACTGAGGGACACAGAATTGTTACTGAGGGACACAGAATTGTTACTCAGGGACAGACACAGAATTGTTACTGAGGGACACAGAATTGTTACTGAGGGACACAGAATTGTTACTGCAGGGACACAGAATTGTTACTCAGGGACAGACACAGAATTGTTACTGAGGGACACAGAATTGTTACTGAGTGGACACAGAATTGTTACTGAGGGACAGACAGAATTGTTTACTCAGGGACACAGAATTGTTACTCAGGGACACAGAACTGTTACTCAGGGGACACAGAATTGTTACTCTGGGACACAGAACTGTTACTCAGGGACACAGAATTGTTACTCAGGGACAGACACAGAATTGTTACTGAGGGACACAGACTGATTGTTACTCAGGGACAGAATTGTTACTCAGGGACACAGAATTGTTACTCAGGGACACAGAATTGTTACTCAGGGACACAGAATTGTTACTCAGGGACACAGAATTGTTACTCAGGGACAGACACAGAATTGTTACTGAGGGACACAGAATTGTTACTGAGGGACACAGAATTGTTACTCAGGGACAGACACAGAATTGTTACTGAGGGACACAGAATTGTTACTGAAAGACACAGAATTGTTACTCAGGGACAGACACAGAATTGTTACTCAGGGACACAGAATCGTTACTCAGGGACACAGAATCGTTGAATTAAAGAGTATGTCAGACAACAGCAGAGGAGTGGCAGAGGAGACAATGTTTCAGGAGCGAGCAGACGTGGCAGCAGAGGAAGGGGTCGAGGCAGCACTAGTCGCAGCCAGAGGCCAGTGCTCCCGGTGTCATCCAGCGGTCGTGTCTCCACCGACAACCCTGCCGTCATCGATTGGTTGGCTCGGTCGTCTTCCTCTTCCTAGGTCACCTCTGACACCTACAGCCAACGGTCGGTGGGTACGTCAGACACAACCGTTAGTTGGCATGGCCCGGGAGCAAGCCCACTGAAATCATGTGTCCTCTACCTGCCCCTGTCCTTTGGTGTTCCCTCACCAAGCGAAGTATCGCATGCTGTGGGCTCAGCCCCACTGTACAGTGAGGAAGAGCTAACAGAGGGCGGTCAGGAACGGGGGGGAGACATCCGCTCTTCAGCAGCCAGGCGAAGAAGTACTGGCGAGGAGAGTGGCTCTGTAGCTGGTCTAGAGACAGGTCTGTCTCCTGACCCACACGCAGCCGAGGGGGCTAGTAGTGAGGCGGAGACCCTAATTGATGATGATGAGGCTGATCGCACTTGGCAGCCTCGTCGTCATCAGGCTATTGCTTCCGCATCATCAGGAGAAGAGGGTGCCAGCTTGGCAGCGAGCAAAACAGTCGGTGGGTTGCCCAGGAGGCAGCAGGGTCGCAGCAGTGTCAGTGGAGGCAAACGGCCACGGAGTAGAGCACCAGCTCCACTGCAGCCTACCACCACGGCCAGTAGTGGTGCCGGTGTGCACGGAGGAGGAGTAGCAGTCAGCCAGTGAGGAGTAGCGGGGGGCAAAGTTTCCTACTCGGCGGTGTGGCAATTTTTCGTCAAGCCGCCCGAGGAAGTAAACGTAGCCGTATGTCGACTATGTGGCCAGAAAGTCAAGCGTGGCCAGGGGGCCCATGTCTCCATCGCCACACTCTGCCATGTGCCACTTTCAGGTCTCCTCACACTGCTGGTGGGTTCCATTTTTGTCATAGGGTGCTGGCAGATTACGGGCCTCCCATTGCTGCTGCCAGGCCCGTAATCTGCCATGGGCCCCTGTACCGCCTCCTCATGCTGCTGCCAGGTCCAGAGTGTGTCATGGGTCCCTGTACGGCCTCCCATTGCTGCTGTCTCCATCGCCACACTCTGCCATGTGCCACTTTCAGGTCTCCTCACACTGCTGGTGGGTTCCATTTTGTCATAGGGTGCTGGCAGATTACGGGCCTTCCATTGCTGCTGCCAGGCCCGTAATCTGTCATGGGCCCCTGTACCGCCTCCTCATGCTGCTGCCAGGCCCGTAATCTGTCATGGGTCCCTGTACGGCCTCCCATTGCTGCTGTCTCCATCGCCACACTCTGCAATGTGCCACTTTCAGGTCTCCTCACACTGCTGGTGGGTTCCATTTTGTCATAGGGTGCTGGCAGATTACGGGCCTCCCATTGCTGCTGCCAGGCCCGTAATCTGCCATGGGCCCCCGTACCGCCTCCTCATGCTGCTGCCAGGTCCAGAGTGTCTCATGGGTCCCTGTACGGCCTCCCATTGCTGCTGTCTCCATCGCCACACTCTGCAATTTGCCACTTTCAGGTCTCCTCACACTGCTGGTGGGTTCCATTTTGTCATAGGGTGCTGGCAGATTACGGGCCTCCCATTGCTGCTGCCAGGCCCATAATCTGTCATGGGCCCCTGTACCGCCTCCTCATGCTGCTGCCAGGCCCGTAATCTGTCATGGGTCCCTGTACGGCCTCCCATTGCTGCTGTCTCCATCGCCACACTCTGCCATGTGCCACTTTCAGGTCTCCTCACAAGGCTGGTGGGTTCCATTTTGTCATAGGGTGCTGGCAGATTACGGGCCTCCCATTGCTGCTGCCAGGCCCGTAATCTGCCATGGGCCCCCGTACCGACTCCTCATGCTGCTGCCAGGCCCGTAATCTGTCATGGGCCCCTGTACCGCCTCCTCATGCTGCTGCCAGGTCCAGAGTGTGTCATGGGTCCCTGTACGGCCTCCCATTGCTGCTGTCTCCATCGCCACACTCTGCCATGTGCCACTTTCAGGTCTCCTCACACTGCTGGTGGGTTCCATTTTGTCATAGGGTGCTGGCAGATTACGGGCCTCCCATTGCTGCTGCCAGGCCCGTAATCTGCCATGGGCCCCCGTACCGACTCCTCATGCTGCTGCCAGGCCCGTAATCTGTCATGGGCCCCTGTACCGCCTCCTCATGCTGCTGCCAGGTCCAGAGTGTGTCATGGGTCCCTGTACGGCCTCCCATTGCTGCTGTCTCCATCGCCACACTCTGCCATGTGCCACTTTCAGGTCTCCTCACACTGCTGGTGGTTCCATTTTGTCATAGGGTGCTGTATGGCCTCCCATTGCTGCTGCCTCCAATCACCGCCACACTGTGGCTCCACACTCTGGTTTTGGCCCCGTGACTGCCCAAATGAGTGAAGTGTGCGGTGATTCTAAGATCGACGGCACTCATCTGCATGTCATACTGACTGACAGTATTATTTCTCTTCCCCAGCAGACTCCAAGGGCATTTAAATTAAAGGTACAGTGTTCTGCACTAATATAAAGGCTCTCTGAAGCCTAGAAACACCCTTTTTTATAAGTTAAATTCGCAGCGAATATATTCGACTCGAATCGAATTTATTCCTCGAATTCGCCGAATCAGCCGAATCGAATTTTTGAATACTTCGCTCATCTCTATTTATAACTATATCAGCCATGTTGATATTCATTTCATGTTCACTATATGAAATGATAAAACAAGATAGTAGAACTTTAAAGTGTCAGTTACTTGTTAGCATTTCTACATTCACACCTTTGTGTTTTTGTTAAAGGTGACTGTAGCTTTATTGACAACTGACATACAGCTCATACATTATTTGGATGAAAAATAATTGCCACATCGTTATAAATGGTATTATTCCTCCTTGTTACAGGGAATTGTAAAGACACAGATCATCGTCAGTATTATATCAAACATCATAAATGCCTTGGTGAATTATGTCTTTCTTTTTGTTCTGGAACTTGGAGTTATGTGAGTGCATAAACAATACTCCTTATCTTGATATAATTAAAAAATAGTGGTTCGACCTGCCATGCAAACAGGCAGGAATTTGAATGCAGAAGAGACATGCTTTGCCTCATCTACATTAAGGTTACTTAACTGCCTGTCCACCCCTGAACAGTGAGCCGTGCACATGCAGCTCACTGTACAAATTTGTCAATGCCGAATGTGACTTAACTCCTGAGTGACGTCACCCCTGCCCAGCCAATGAAAACGGTCGGCAATCAAGACCAAGAAGTCAGCTGTTTTCATTGGTCAAGTGGGGGTGACATCCCTGGCCTCAATAATATATGAGTCTCTGGTTCCAAGCAAACATGGGTAGAGACCCTGCCTTATGCTGTTAGGTCCCTATTTAAAATGAGAGTGTTTGTTACTAGGCTGTAACCAGCCAGAGCTTTACCTTTGTCTAGACCAGGGGTGGGCAAACTTTTTTACTTGAGGGCCGCAATGGGTTCATATATTGGACCCGGGGGCCGGACCAAGAGTAGATGAATGATGTGTATGTGTCATCCATAGTAAGTATAGTAATATTCCCCCATAGTAAGCATAGTTATTAATCCCCCATATAGTAATTCATCCCCCATATAGTAATTCATCCCCCATAGTAATTTCATCCCCCATAGTAATTCATCCCCCATATAGTAATTCATCCCCCATAGTAATTCATCCCCCATAGTAATTCATCCCTCATATAGTAATTCATCCCCCATAGTAATTCATCCCCCATATAGTAATTCATCCCCCATAGTAATTCATCCCCCATAGTAATTCATCCCCCATATAGTAATTCATCCCCCATAGTAATTCATCCCCCATAGTAATTAATCCCCCATATAGTAATTCAGCCCCCATAGTAATTCATCCCCCATAGTAATTCATCCCCCATATAGTAATTAATCCCCCATAGTAATTCATCCCCCATATAGTAATTCATCCCCCATAGTAATTCATCCCCCATACAGTAATTAATCCCCCATAGTAATTCATCCCCCATATAGTAATTCATCCCCCCCATAGTAATTCATCCCCCATAGTAATTTCATCCCCCATAGTAATTCATCCCCCCTATAGTAATTCATCCCCCATATAGTAATTCATCCCCCATAGTAATTCATCCCCCATATAGTAATTAATCCCCCATAGTAATTCATCCCCCATATAGTAATTCATCCCCCCATAGTAATTCATCCCCCATATAGTAATTCATCCCCCATAGTAATTCATCCCCCATATAGTAATTCATCCCCCATATAGTAATTCATCCCCCATAGTAATTCATCCCCCATATAGTAATTCATCCCCCCCATAGTAATTCATCCCCCATAGTAATTCATCCCCCATATAGTAATTCATCCCCCATAGTAATTCATCCCCCATATAGTAATTCATCCCCCATAGTAATTCATCCCCCATATAGTAATTAATCCCCCATAGTAATTCATCCCCCATAGTAATTCATCCCCCATATAGTAATTCATCCCCCATAGTAATTCATCCACCATATAGTAATTCATCCCCCATATTGTAATTCATCCCCCATATAGTAATTCATCCCCCATATAGTAATTCATCCCCCATAGTAATTCATCCCCCCATATAGTAATTCATCCCCCATAGTAATTCATCCCCCATATAGTAATTCATCCCCCATAGTAATTCATCCCCCATAGTAATTCATCCCCCCTATAGTAATTCATCCCCCCTATAGTAACTCATTCCCCATATTAATTCATCCCCCATATTATGTTCCCAAGTCCCCCCTGTGTCAATTCACTTACCGTGTTCCCGCGCCGTTCCGGTGTAGCATGAAAATCTGTCTCCTATGAGGATCTGTCCCCTCGACGTATCTGCACATGTGCCAGTTTCAGGATTTAGCAGCCGATCGGCGATCTCCGGCACATGCGCAGATACGTCGAGGGGGACAGATCCTCATAGGAGACAGATTTTCATGCTACACCGGTCTTCAGGGCGGATTGTGAGAGGAGCCTAGCTCCCCTCACGTTCGTCACGCTGCCCCGCCTACACACATCCTGACAGCCATCCTGACAGTATCATGCTCCGCGGGCCGGATTAAAAGGTCCGCCGGGCCGTAGTTTGCCCATTGCTGGTCTAGACTCTGTAGGTCTTCCCTAAGCTCAGTGGGTTATTTGTGTCTGCCTGTTATCCACCTGCCTTCCAGAAGGTTTTACCACCTTCATGACCAGGGCATTTTTTTGGTATTCAGCAATTTGTTACTTTAATTTTAATTGCTCGGTCGTGCAACACTGTACCAAAATTAGCTTTTTATCATTCTTTCACACAAATAGAGCTTTCTTTTGGTGGTATTTGATCACCACTGGGTTTTTAATTTATTTTTAATATATAACAATAAAATATAAAAAATGTTTAATAAAAAACACATTTTTATTACTTTCTGTTATATTATGCATATAAATATTCTTTCTTCATAAATGTAGGCCAAAAGATATTTTACTACATTTCTTTGGTAAAAAATAATCTAAATCAGTGTATATTATTTAGTTTGTGCTAAAGTTATAGAGTCTACAAACTGGTATATATATATTTGAAGATGAATTAGTCCAGATGAACTGGTGGCCTATATCATTTCTTGAGGTCCAAATACCTCCCAAATGACCCCTTTTTGGAAAGTAGAGAGTCCAAGGTGTTTAGTAAGAGGCATGGCAAGTTTTTTTGAAGTTGCAATTTTTTTTTTTACAATTTTTCGGAAAATTAAAAAAGTAAATAAAATTTAACCATTAGCCGCCTGGCCTGTAGCCATTTGGCGGCCGCAAAAATGCATTAGCTTTCCGGGGTGTACGCCATTTGGCGTCCTCCGGCACATGCGCAGTTCGCGCGGTTGCAGAGCCGCGCAGCGGCGCAATCTATCACCGGCTGTGTACCTCGGACACGGCCCATGACAGATCTGAGTACCGGCCCCTGTTGCCAGTACCATGTGACCTGCTGTGACCAATCACAGCAGGTCACATGACAGTTGTATACAATGGATGGCTTCATTCATGCCATCCATTGTATACTAGTGTCTAGCTGTGAATGGTCACAGCAGGTCACATGCACATGTCATGTGATTAGCTGTGGCCAAATCACAGCTAAGCACAAAAAAAAAAACAAAAAAAAAAACCTGAATGAATCGATGTCATTCAGGTAAATGCTTGCTTATAGCAAAGTAATTCTTTGCTATAAGCAAATTGTGTGAAAAAAAGGAAAATACTGATCACTTCTTCCCCAATGTTACTATGGTAACATTGTACTACTTTGGTCATAGTAAAATATGAAAAAAAAATCTTAAAAAAAAATGTAATAAAAAATTAAAAATAATAAAAAAAAAAAAAAAATTATATTTTTTTTTCATACTGTCACCAGTCAGTGTTCCTGTTCACCTCCATGCCAGTTATATGATGATGCTGTACTGCACTGGTGACAGTATGTAAAAAAAAAAATAGTGAAAATAATTTTTTTAATCTTTTCATTTTCCGAAAAATTATGACAAAAAAAATACAACTTCAGAAAACTCGCCATTCCTCTTATGAAGTACGTCGGACTGTTTACTTTACAAAAAGGGGTCATTTGGGGGATATCTGTACTGTTCTGACATTCTTGGACCTCAAGAAATTAGATTGGCAGTCAGTACTTCAGGATTGATCAATTTTCAGATCTATACCATAGTTTGTTAACTCTATAACTTTCCTACAAACTAAAAAATACATCCTAATTTGGGTTATTTTCACCAAAGACATGTAGCAGCATACATCAAATTTATGAAGAACAATTATTTATTTGTAAACTTTTATAACAGAAACAAAGAAAAACATGTTTTTTTTTCAAAATTTTTGGTCTTTTTTTTATTAATTTAGCAAAAAATAAAAACCCCAGCGGTGATTAAATACCACCAAAAGAAAGCTCTAGTTGTGTGAAGAAAATGATAAAATTTTAGTTTGGGTACAATGTTGTATGACCGCGCAATTGTCATTCAAAGTGTGAGAGCGCTGAAACCTGAAAAATGGCCTGGGCAGGAAGGTGTAAAATTGCCCGGTATTGAAATGGTTAAGTTCACTGTAATAAGCAATAGTTTTAGATGTCATGAACGGGTTAACATTCATGACAGCTTAGTTACTATTGCCATGCTATGATTTGCTACAGCTAATCACATGGTACAGGTAGCTAGGTACCATATGATAGCTGTGGACCAATCACAGTATCACAACAGTAATCAGGCTGTCATAAATGGAAACCCATTCATGACAGTTTTCTTACATAAATATCATGTGATTGCCATAATTGATCATAGCTAGAGATGAGCGAATCGAACTTGGCGAAGTGGAATTCGTTTCGAATATTAGGAAAAATTCGATTCGCACCGAATCCGAATTTTAGCAAACTTCGGATGCACGAATCGAATTTTCCCCGATCAGCCGGCAAAAAGTGTCACTGCAGAGAGCTCCGCTATTTCTGACAGTTCTCTGACAGTTCCTTCACATTTACAGCGGTTGAAACATTGTATCTATTTGTTTCCATTTAGGATACAGATGTTTTTATTCGGAAACAAATAGATACAATGTTTCAACCGCTGTAAATGTGAAGGAACTGTCAGAGAACTGTCAGAAATAGCAGAGCTCTCTGCAGATACACTTTTTTGCTGTACTGGAATTCTTCTTCTTTTCATTCTTCTTCTTCTTTTCATTCTTCTTCTTCTTTTTCTTCTTCTTTTCATTCTTCTTCTTCTTTTCATTCTTCTTCTTCTTCTTTTCATTCTTCTTCTTCTTCTTTTCATTCTTCTTTTCATTCTTCTTCTTCTTCTTCTTTTCATTCTTCTTCTTCTTCTTCTTCTTCTTCTTTTCATTCTTCTTTTCATTCTTCTTTTCATTCTTCTTCTTTTCATTCTTCTTCTTCTTTTTATTCTTCTTCTTCTTCTTTTCATTCTTCTTTTCATTCTTCTTCTTCTTCTTTTCATTCTACTTCTTCTTTTCTTTCTTCTTTTCATTCTTCTTTTCATTCTTCTTTTCATTCTTCTTCTCATTCTTCTTTTCATTCTTCTTTCTTCTTCTTTTCATTCTTCTTCTTCTTCTTCTTTTCATTCTTCTTCTTCTTTTCATTCTTCTTTTCATTCTTCTTCTTCTTCTTTTCATTCTTCTTCTTTTCATTCTTCTTTTCATTCTTCTTCTTCTTTTCATTCTTCTTCTTCTTCTTTTCATTCTTCTTCTTCTTCTTTTCATTCTTATTCTTCTTCTTTTCATTCTTCTTTTCATTCTTCTTTTCATTCTTCTTTTCATTCTTCTTCTTCTTCTTTTCATTCTTCTCATTCTTCTTTTCATTCTTCTTCTTCTTCTTTTCATTCTTCTTCTTCTTCTTTTCATTCTTCTTCTTCTTCTTTTCATTCTTCTTTTCATTCTTCTTCTTCATCTTCTTCGTCGTGCCCTGTGACTGCCCAAATGAGTGAAGTGTGCGGTGATTCTAAGATCGACGGCACTCATCTGCATGTCATACTGACTGACAGTATTATTTCTCTTCCCCAGCAGACTCCAAGGGCATTTAAATTAAAGGTACAGTGTTCTGCACTAATATAAAGGCTCTCTGAAGCCTAGAAACCCTTTTAATAAGTTAAATTCGCAGCGAATATATTCGCATCGAATCGAATTTCTCCCGCAAATTCGGCGAATCAGCCGAATCGAATTTTTGAATAATTCGCTCATCTCTAATCATAGCAATCACATGATTCCCTGGTCGCTCATAGCAGCTGTGTACCGAGTGCCGCGGTAAACTGTGTCCATAGAACACAGCGATCATGGGATTGTGCCGCTGCATCCCAGGGGGTGAACTAGTGCGCATGTGCTGGCGATGTACCAGTACGTTGCCCAGCCTCGCAGTGCAACCTGTCTACAGTAAAACTACTGTAGGAGGGGGCGGCAAGTGGTTATCATGAAGGAGGTTTATAAATTTGTAACTGTCGGGACCAGTCCCTGGGATTCTTGTTCAGAAGCATAATTTGGGAGATAGTAAATATTTGGGGATCACCTTTTTAGAGTGTTCTGTCTCTCCTGGGCTTTTGTGTGGAGAGGCTGTGTGTTTGGAGTGTCACTCCACTTGGGCCTTACCTCAGCATGGGGCAGGTGCTATAGGCCTAAGAAATTTAGCTTCCTGTTGGAGTAGATATCTGGAGGTAGATGGGCTTGTAAAGAATTTTCTTGCTGAAGAGTGTCACAGAGAAGGTGGGTAAGAAGCTACTACTGAGCATTGTGAGAATTATTCATCACATATCAATCAAGGTATCTTGGACTGCTCTAGAAATGGCAAAGAACCAGAATTATTAGAGAAAGTTTAATTGTAATATAAAGGAAGGGATGTAACTGCTGTTACTGGGTCATAGGTCTGTCTGGCAGTTTTCACAGAGCCAGCAATTACTAAGAGGCTGCACTTAAAAGGTCTACTTCTACCAGTATACCTGTTTTTTTTTTTTTTTTCGCTCTTTTTGGGTATCCTGCACCACTAAAGATAGTCATTGCAACATTTTTTTCATTCCACAGTAGGAACAGCCTCGATGGGAGTTGCAACTGTGCTCTGAATTTAAGAGTAGTACAGAATTGTTGCTACACCCTCACAGGAAGCAGTATTAGGTGGCTTTCACTGGCAGGGTGTACAGGTATTTGTTGGACTTTATAATAGGAACAAAAGAAAATTGTAGGCAATAGGCCAAAGCTCTATTTTATTATTGTAAATTCTCTGCTCTCTTGCTCTGCTTTCAAGTTACAGATGAGATTGGTGCTTCCAAGTAAATGGAAGGTGTGGTTCATATTTGCAGTTCAAGTGCTAAAGATATAAAATATCAGTGCTGATTCAGTGATCTCATTTGTCATAAGACTGGCCCAGCCTAAAACCCTTTGAACTTTATGATGAGTATATGTCCAATGAATACAGCATAACAATTACCCAACACTTTCAATTTGTTTGTTCACAGGGGATCAGCTTGGGCAAACACTATTGCTCAGTTTTCCCAGGCTCTTTTGTTGTTCCTTTATATTCGACTTAAGAAACTTCATGTACACACATGGGGAGGTATGATCTATCTTGTTGTATTTCAGGTTATGAATCAAATGTAATATCAATAATATTGTAACATAAAGTATGACACTAAGGTATGCAAATTAGGGGAAAAAAATAAAAAACGTTAAAAAAAAAAATCTTAGCTTTCAGAAGATAAATATGTAAGGGTCTGTTTACACTACGGTGTTGCTGTAATTGCTTTACTGCACAACACAGCAAAGTAGGTTAAATGCAATGGTGCGACACGGTGCCATTCAGGATGCACCTTTTGACAGAAGTGTGTTGCTGTGTAATGCACTAACTTGCAATGCCAATGCAGTGTGCTGCCCAAAAATAGTTCATACACCATTTTTTGGCAGCACACTGCATGATAGTGCCACGTACAATGTGCGTTCATCGACAAGGTACATTGGGATGCCATTCAAATGAATGGCACTGCATTGCACCAACACATTTAACGTACGTTGCAACACACTGCAGAAAAGCAAACGCTAACACATGTTACCGCAACACCATACTGTGAACAGGCCATTAAATGTAAAAAATGAAAAAGGGATGTAATATATATATATATATATATATATATATATATATATATATATATTTTTTTTTAGGACCGATAGTATTGTCATTGAATGTTGGTGTGTGTAAACCATCAATGTCATTCACAAACAGCAGCATGGGTATACTTGCTATTTCATACTGGGCTAAAGGCTAAAACTCTGCTGAGGCTTTTCTTTTTACGCTTAAAGGTTGGTCGTTGGAGTGTTTGCAAGACTGGAACACCTTTGTAGCATTGGCAGTGCCGAGCATGCTTATGGTGTGCATAGAGTGGTGGACCTATGAAATTGGCAGCTTCCTTGTAGGTAAGCAAAATAAAGCATAGGAGTAATGGAAGGCTTCTTAAAGTGGTTGCAAATCCTTACATATACACAGTGACTAGCCTCAGGTGATACACAGAGATGAGACAAATCCTCCTACATAAGTTGTACCTGTTTAACTATAGTCTTCGCCTCTGTACAGCCTTTCAAAGTCCAGAATTTATAAAGTTTGTCTGAGCTTTCGGAAAACAGGGGGATAGCTGAAATTAAAAGTACTGATTATATATATGTGAAAGGGATCAACAAAAACCCAAAGAATGATTAAAAAGTAGAAGCAGTAAGAGATGATTGGTCTAGGGTGGCCTTTCGGTAAATAAACAAAAATACAAATGTGTCAAATATTAGAAAGTTTATTTACAAAAGATGCTCATCATGAATCATATGCTCATATACATAACATGAATATTTTGTACCATTAATAAAAAGAGTAATGTCATAAGTTACACTGTCAACGCGTTTCGCAGTCGGGACCACTTCTTCAGGACCTCATGTTCTCATATGACATATTATACATATAACTTTCTGCTGAACCATGTTATATGTTCTACCTGTTTTTAGAGTAGAACATGTAACATGTTCCCAATGCTGCAGCCGCCTTAGCAGCTGTCGGCTTGTAGTTCTCAATGAAATACCACGGCTCTGTGGAGCATCATGGTAGTTCATTGATTCTTCCTGTCATTATGTCTGCTTGCCTGTACATTCTGTACGGGCAAGCAGATATACTAACAGGTCTGCAGGAGACCTGCATGGCACCAGCGAACTGCTGATTGCTGGTGCAATGCTTTCTAGGCTCCTGCAACCAAAAATAATAAATGCACATTTTTTTCACCTGCACCTTATCCTTCATATAGTATTGTCAATTTGCATAGCTTTTACATATATATTGTACATGCATATCAGTCCCTGCCCTCAAGGAGCTTACAATGTAAAGCCCATAACTCACATTCATACATACACATACTAGGGCCAATTAACCTACCACCAGGGGCGGATTGACCATTTGGAAACTCGGGCACTGCCCGAGGGCCCGGGGACAGTAGGAGGCCCCATGAGATGCCCCTGTTACCTTTTTCATAGGCTTTTTTGAGTTTGGGCAAGGACACAGGGGCCCCATGATCCCCTATTGCCCGGGGGCCCCATGAGTTGTCAGTCTGCCCCTGCCTACCACTATGTCTTTGGAGCATAGGAGGAAACCCACACAGGCAGAAGATGCAAACTCCAGGCAGGTAGTGCCATGGTTGGGATTGAAACCCACAACCCTAGTGTTGCTAGGCAGAAGAGCTATCAACTTAGCCATTATGCTTCCATTGCCTTGCTGGTCTCTTACTGCATACATTTACACTAGGACCACTGTTTCTATATCTAAACTGTCACTTATAAAAGTGTTATTGCTTTAGAGCCACCAATCATATTTACACTTTCAGACCCCTATATTTTCTAAGGTAGGTATTACTCTGATTTGTTGCTATGGGACAGTGTTGACAGATGTTTTTATGAACTCTGATCTCTGACACTTGTAGCCAACGTATTTTAATTTTTTGTTTGTGTTTTCCAACTGTCTTATTTTCAGGCCTTATAAGCGTGGTGGAGCTTGGTGCCCAGTCTGTCATATATCAGGTGACCATTGCATATATGGTAATTTTATTTCTGATTACTTTCAGAGCATTGCTAAGATAAATATGCAGCCAGCTATTAACAGCGAATGTGTTCTACCAAGTACTTTAATAAGTTACAGTTAAAGTGGTATTATACCCAAAACTAAAAATTTTATATATTGCAGATTACCAATCATTAGATGTGATGGCTGCATTAGTTTTATTTTTTGGGGCTTTTTCTCCTTTATTCTCATCTGGTGATCTGACCATTAACACACCTCCTGTATTATACAAAAAATGGCTGCTGCCCCAATCTAAAACTGGTCTTCACAGCAGGGAGCACATGGAAGGGCAACGCATATCAAACAACAAAAGAGAAAAATTCCCAGCTCAACTTGCCAACCAGCCTGCAAACAAACTGAATTAACCTGTCTAACAGTATGTGTTAAAAAAAAGGGGTTTAGTTAGCACACATTTGCAAATACATGCGTAAGCTACAGAGCCTCGTCATGGCACCCCAATATTCTGTAGTTCCTAACTCTACAAATTTTGAGAGCCCCCATAGTAGAGGAACATGTATTTAATGGATAGACCAAGGGCAGGTGGACCTAAGATAGCCCACCCCTGCTTAAAGGTATATGAAGCCACTGGACACCCAGCATGTAGCATAATGGCAGATAAGGTGTCCAGTGCACCCCCTCACCAGCCTGCAAGCAAACCTCCTGTATTAGAATGGCTACACTCTAGATAACAGAGCAAAAGAAGCACCTTTGGACAGCACCATTGTCAGGCTGGGGGGAGGGGAGTGTTAGATGGAATAGCAGATAAATCAAAGCCAAACTCCAGCTAACAAATTTTAAGCAGTTACAACAAACCATTTTGTTCTTTTTCGGATAAAGGTTTTAACCACTTGCCCTCCAGAGGATTTACCCCCCTTCCTGACCAGGCCATTTTGTGTGTTATGGCACTGCATTAATTTAACTCCCAATTGCACAGTCATGCAACGCTGCAGCCAAATGCAATGTACATCCTTTTTTCCCCACAAATAGAGTTTTCTTTCGACGATATTTGATCGCCTGTGCATTTTAATTTTTTGCACTATAAAAAAAAAAGACCGGCAATTTTGAGAAAAAAACAATATTTTTGACTTTTTGCTATTAAACTTGTCCAGTAAAAAAATTTTAAAAATCAAATTTCTACATAAATATAGGCCAAAATGTATTCTGCTACGTGTGTTTGCTAAAAAAAATCCCAATATGTGTAAATTAATTGGTTTCCGTGAAAGTTACAAATGACAGTATAGATACTGGAATTTTTTTTTTACTAGTAATGGCAGTGATCAGAGACTTATAGCGAGACTGCGGGACTGCGGCAGGTATTCTGACACTGGGGGGGAACTGACTTGGTGTCAAAGACATACCCAGTGACATCATTACAGTGATCAGAGCTAATAAAAAGCACAGACACTGCACTAATAGCACTGGGCAGAAAGGGGTTAACGTGTGGGGCGATCAAAGGGTTAACTGTGTGCTGTTTCACAGTAAGTTGTGTCTGTGCTTTCAACTGTAAGCACACTGCTTTGTATGGCTCTGCATAGCAGAGCCATACAAATCAGTGTGCTGGAGTTGAGAGAGGAGGAGAACTGTATTGTTTACATATAGTTTTCTCCGCCGTCAGTAATACTCGGCGATCACAGGGTGGGACCTGCAGCGAATAGCAGCTTGCGCACGCCCCCTACACGGAAATGCAAAATCACATATATATATATATATATATATATATATATATATATATTTATACACGTGATTTTGCACACCCCTGCCACCCTGTAGCAGTATTTCTGCTATAGGGCGATGGGAAAGCGGTTAAATAAAACATTGTAAGCATCTCTGTCGGTGTTAAATAGTTCTCTCAGCCCTCTAACTGACACATCTGCAGGACAGCTTGTTCTGTTGAAAAATAACTGGCCGGGACACTAGGTGAAAAGGGAAAGAGGAAAGAAAGCATAAAAAAAATCGAATACGGTCATCACATCTAAGAACTGGTAAACTGCAATATAATAATGTTTGCTTAAAGGCTTAATACCATTTTAAAATATAGTTTATGAGTAAAAAAGAAAATATTCTAATGCAGTGATTCTCAGCCATTTTGAGACCAGGGCCTGGTAAATTCTTCTAAAAACCTTTCATGGTACAACAGTAAGAAAAAAAAAAAGTTTGTACTCACACAAAAGTATGGGATACAAAATACATATTGAAGTTCTGGAAGGCTGTGGATGTGGATAGGTGTCACTGTGGGGTATGGCGGTTGTGGAGGGAGATGGAGAAATCTGCAGCAGACTTGGTGTCCTTGTAATGGATGAGGTTTCTGGAAGCTGGGGGCAACTGTGAGGGATGTGTCTCTGGAGGGGGCTGAGGGTCTCTCCAGGAGGCTGGGGAATTAGCAGGGGCCCTGTGGAAGACTGGAGGGCACTGTGGGAGACTAGAGGGCACTGTGAGGGATGGGATTCACTGTGCAACAATGTTGGAGTTTATGGACACTAGAGGGGCTGAAGGATCTGCAGCAAGTTAGGGAACACTGTAGGGGGCTAGGGGACACTGTAGATGGTTGGGTAGCACTGTAGGAGCTGAGGTAGTATGGGAGATTGAGTGGAACTATGGCCCACTATGGGAGGCTGAGAGGCATTATGGGAATTGGGACGCACTGTGGCAGGTTAATCTGCAGTTGGTTTTAGGCCCAGGAGAAGGGAGGCCAGGGCCTGGCAGTGGGTCACTGCCTGGTGATTGAGAACCCCAATGCAAACGCATCAAAAGCGCAATGCACCACATCAAAAACGTGTCAAAGCGCAGCAGAGGAGTTTTTTTCAGCGGAGCAGTGTAAAAGTAGCCTTAGAGGTTATTAACTGCTTAAGAGAAAACCCACAAGATGGCTACTTGTTATACTTTACTATAACAGTAATACAGTATATCTATATTTTCTAGATTCCATATGGTATAGGTATGGCTACTAGTGCTCGAGTTGGCACTGCACTTGGTGCTGGAGATATTGAACAAGCAAAGAAGTCTATGACAATTGCTTTCGTTATAACAGGTACATTTTACAAATATGACAGATCTTTTTACCTGTATAAGGTAAATCTAGAAGTAACTGTAAAAATCAACTGTAATAAAGATGAATAAATAACTGCCTGCAGTTTTGTACCAAAAGTACTATTTGCAAGCACAAATATGATAGGTGAACTGCTTGGAAGTACAATTTCATCAGATGTATCATTTATATGTGCAAAAGTATTGGGATAGATTAAAGCAGAACGTCACCCAAAAGGGGAAGTTCCGCTTGTTTGTATCCACACCAGCCCCCCTCCACTGCCACATTTGGCACTTTTTGGGAGGGAGCAGATACCTGGTTTTGACAGGTACTCCTTCCCACTTCCACTCAGATGCGCCAATGCGATCTGAGCTGGAAGTTCACCCCCCTACTTCCCCCGCAGCCTTCTGGGACACTTCACAGGCCCCAGATGACTGCGAGACCATTCACAAAGCTCAGCCCGCTTCTTGCATGTGTAGTAGAAAACTGGTGTGAAGAAGCCAGCGACATTGTTGGAAACCAGGACAAGTAAGTGTCCTTATATTAAAAGTCAGCAACTACAGAATTTGTGTTTTAATTTTTTGGGGGGAGCCTGGTGCTCTGCTTTAAGGGAAAATGGGGTACTAGACAAGGTACCAGCTTTGTTCCCACTCACCCTATTAATTGACATTGATAATGATTGCAATAGGCACATAGAAGGTGCTACATTGTCTGTTCAAAAGGTATAGCCCACTCCATCAGACACCAACTTCTTGCAAGTACATCTTCCTTGTAAGCAAGTGCAGCGCTAAAATTGCTAATGAGACAAGTGGAACAGTAAAGTGCATTACATAAAAAATCACATAACTTTTGGAAAAAAACGCTTCAAGAAATTGAACGGAACAAAAAAGTGCATCATAAACTGTATGTATCCAAACGGAACAGTAAAGTGCATCATATGAAATTGCAAATATCTCAACAAATCAATTTCATAAAATGGAACAATAAAGTGCATCAAAAGCAGTATGGATTAAGCGAAACAGTAAAGTGCACCATATAAGAGTGCAAAACTGTCAGGTGAATCAACTTCAATACATATAAATATCATCATAAGCATACTAATATTGTAATAATGTCCGTGATGATGCGTGGTATAAAGTGCAATATAAGCAAAATTATAGCAAAAATGTACGGATGATAATCTGGTAATGTCCGTGATTACACGCGATCCACGTAAATGGCCGTGAAACAATAAGGTGCAGTAAAATATAGTGCTGGGTGTATGTGTGATATCAATAACGCAGAAGAATCCGCCACCTCTAATAGATGTACACTCACCAGGATGAAACTGGTAACAGGCATTTCAAGCATAACACATCTCGAGATAGGGGGCAGCCAAGAGGTTAAGATGGACCGTCTCGTCTAGGGCATTGGATGGAAGGAAATTGAATTAGCCTGAAGAAAATAGCTCACCACAGGAGCCAGAAGATTGTATATATTATAATATTTATTTACATATATTAAATATACAATATCCACGTGGAATCAATAATAAAATTGTAAAGGAGAAATACCAAGGTGGCCACTACTCCGTCCTTCGGCAGCGTGAGGTCAGCAAGAGGCTCCATCTGACGCGTTTTGTGTACATACACGTCTTCAGGGGTATACCCATTGCTAACATCATGTTCAGGCTCCATTTAAGTAGCTCACAAGGCGCAAAATCAATCCGCCATTTTATCAGAGGTCTGCCGGTCACGTGATACCGGTGGCCATTTTCCCGGAGATCAGAATTAGTCAGATAGTTATGCGGCACCACTCGTGTTAATAAGAAGACACAGAGAGAGTGGATGTCGCAGGAGAATAGAACGGTGGCCATTGTTATGGAGGTGTGAATGATCCTATTGTTGCAGCACACTGTGGTTATAATATGTAACTCACAATTGGGGCATAAAAACAGGAAAAAAACATATATGAGTAAAACAGAGGGGTGTCGGTGGGGGTGGTGACAAACAGCGATCTCCTGTATGACTTTCAATGAAGCAGCTGGAAGCCGCAGCAGGAAGAGTAGGAGAATCAGCTTCCAGCTGCTTCATTGAAAACCATACAGGAGATCGCTGCTTGTCACCGCCCAGACCGCTGCACAGAACATACCTGATTGCTCCGTTTTCTTTTTGCCCCTCCCCCCAGCACTGCTGTGTTCTTCTCATTGCCCAGCCCCTCCTTCTATCTGCCGCACCAAAAGGAGAAGAGGGGAGAGAGGCTGGATCTGCTCTGCCTCCCCCTGTGCCCGTCCACAGTCCAGTACGTGCAGCTTCAGAGGAGGTGTGGGCGGAAAATTGAGTCACAGCTCTGATGCTTCTGAATGAGTCAAAGTGAGTCTGACCTAACCTTCTTTCCACTCACCTCTCCCTTCCTTCCTTCCGCCCACCCCTCCCTTCCTTCCTCCCTTCCTTCCCCCCCTCCCCTCCCTTCCCCCCCTCTCCCCCTCCCCCACCCCCCCCCCCTTCCTCCCCCCTTTACCCCACCCCTACCTTCCTCCCTTCCTTCCAGCCACCCCTCCCTTCCTTCCTTCCTTCCTTCCTTCCTTCCCACCCCCCCCCCCCTTCCCCCCCCCCCCCTCCCTCCCTCCCTTTGTTCCTTCCTTCCTTCCCCCACCCAATCCCCCCTCCCTTCCCCCACCCCCCCCCCCTCCCCCCCCCCCCCCCCCCCCCCCTCCTTCCACCCCCCCCCCCTTCCTTCCCCCCCACCCCCCTTCCCCTTCCGAGCACCCCCCCCCTCCCCCCCCCCCCCACCCCCCCCCCCCCCTTCCACCCCCCCCCCCCCTTCCACCCCACCCCCCACCCCCCCCCATCCCCCCCCCCCCCCCCCCCTTTCCTTCCTTCCCCCCCCCCCTTCCTTCCCCCCCCCCCCCTTCTTTCCACCCCCCCCCCCCCCCCCCCTTCCTTCCACCCACCCCCCCCCCCCCCCTCCCCCCTCCCTTCCCCCCCCCTCCCCACTCCCCCCCTCTTCCCCCGCCCACCCCCCCCCCCCTCCTCCCTCCCCTTCCCCCCCCCCCCCTTCCATGCACCCCCCCCCTATCTTCTACGCACCCTTCCTTCCACCCCCCCCCTCCCTTGCTTCCTTCCTTCCTTCCACCCACTCATTCCTTCCATCAACCCCTTCCTTCCTTCGACCTACCCCTCCCTTCCATTCCATTCACCCCTTCCTTCCTTCCTACCTTTCTTCCTTCCTTCCACCCACCCCTCCCTTCCTTCCATCCACCCCCCCTTCCTTCCACTCACCCTTCCCCTTCCTTCCTTCCATCCATCCCCCTTCCTTCCATCCACGACTGCAGAGGACACCAGTACTCACTTGGGAAAAAACTCCAGGCAGCAGGTGGATGGAGGGACAGCCACTGATCGAGAAAAGTTTTCCAACATTCCTGTTCAACAGAAGTTGATCAAGCGGGGGTCTTCACACATGGGGGAAAATTTGTCCAGTCACTGCAATACGTCTATGGCCAGACTAAGTCTTGTATTCCTAAAATTTTCTCTGTCATATTACTAATTATAATTTTACACTTCCTAAGCATCCATGGCTCTTTCTCAAATGTATATTAGATGGTGGTACTCTTTTAGTGTGTCTTAAAATTGATTCCATTTACATGTATAAAGCAACGTACGTAATCTATTCTCCCCTTGCAAATATTTATTAGAGTATTTTTTCTTTCATTTGCATTTATAAATATTTGTTGAAAGTGCCTATATTTAATTTTCCTATACTGTTTAAAATCCAATAATACACTATCTCATCCTGCTCTTCACATGCTCAGTTGCTCTCTATTTTTCAGCATTGTACTGAAAATATAGAGGCCGATCTGCTGACATCCTAAAGATTTACTGTAGTTCAGGCGTGCTTGGCTTCAGTGAAATGGCAGCCTCCAGCATGAAGACACCGGTACAATGCTGGAGGCAATTTACAGCACACACTAATTTTGATAGCATAATTATTAATGGGGCATATATGTTCCTTGCTAAAGAACATTATTTTTTATTAAGTTGTTATGAGTAAAGTTCCACTTTAAAATATATAGTTTGTACTTTATGTAAAAATACATTAAATATAGTACATGAAGTCATTAGGACATAGCATTTTTGTGCTTTCACATGCTCAGTAATAGATGGTATTTTATGTTTCCCAGCTTTTTTCATGATTTTGGATGCAATACTGCTTGCGGCCTTGAAGAATGAGTTCTCATACATATTTACTAATGATGGGTATGTTAGATAATTTACACTAATCAAAGTTGTATTCCTTTAAAAAAATATTTCAGGTAAATATAAATGAATAAATAGAATAAAATGTATATCTATCTATCTATCTATCTATATATGGTCTTTGGGGATTCATAGGGATAATTCATGTTTATATGAGCCCATCGATTGCATGAAGGTAAAACAACTGGAGCCTTTACAACCACCTTAATATTCTGGTTTTACTGATGCACATTATTTTATATGGGGCTTTTGTTTCTTGTTTCAATCTCTTGTTCATATTTAATTGTCTTCATAAGGGTCTACAGTAATAAATACCAAACTACTTACCCTTTTTATCATTTTCTTCCAGAGAGATAGCCACGCTTGTTTCTGAAGTCATACCTGTATACATTGTGTTCCACATGTTTGAAATCATTGCTGTGAGTACATAGGCATTTTAAACTGAAATAACACACACACACACACACACACACATATATATATATATATATATATATATATATATATTCATGTGTAATAATTCAAAACCTCTATAAAATAAATGCTGTAATATGAGGATGCTCCAAAAATATTGCAAGTAGTTTAATTTTATTAATTAAAGAGTAATTTCATTCCCCCATCATGTGACCCCCTCCCCCCACTTCCGCAGTGCCGCATCTTTCAAAATCTGGTTCTTGTGCAGATGTCCCCAGCCATTGGGATCCAGAAGAAACCTGTGGCATGTGAACACACATGGAGAGTCTCGCACATCCACAGACACCCTGATATCAAGGACCGCATAACTGTGTTCGCCTTGTGCACATGTGTGCAACTCCTCACATGTGCACAGATGTGGCATAGGTCTCCAACAGGTCCTG